CTCCAGCAGGGTCTCGCTTCCCCGGCGACTCTCTCGGCGCAGGTGGCAAGTTGAGCGGAGCCGCTTGCCTACGTAATGCGCTTTCCTCCGGGCGAGCCTATCAGCCCTACACCCCTGCCAGCCTTTGGGCGGGGGGGGTGTGGGGGGTGTGGGGTGTGTTTCTTATATTTTTTTTTTTTTTTCCCTTTCTCCTCTTTTTTTTTTTTTTTTTTTTCCTTTCGCCTCCTCCAATTTTCTTTCGCAGCCTCCAACTCCCTCCTCAAGGCTTAAAGGAGCCGGCAGCTCGTCTCGGAGTTTTGAAAACGATGCGCGGAAGGAGGCGAGCAAATACCGACCCGGTGTTTTCGGGTCTCCCCCCTCGGCGTTAAACCCCCCCTTCCCCAGGCAGGTCTAACGGTCCCAGGCTGAAATTTGCAAAGACTTTTTTTTTGAGGGGGGTGGGGGTGATGCTTGGCTTGGTTTTGCGCCCCCAACACTCCCCCCCCCTACGCTGGGTTTGTTTGCACGGGGGGCAAAAGCTTCACAACCTACTTAGTGCTTGGTCCCCATGGAGGGTGAGGATGAGGATGGCGAGGATGAGGATGGAGAGGATGAGTATTGTGAGGATGAAGATGGTGAGGATGAGGACAGCAAGGAAAGGTCCCACCAAGCAGCTGGGGCTCCACGGAGAGGAGGGGGCTCCATTTTCAGGGTTTGGGGGGTCCCCTCCCTGCTTACAGCAGCACCTCACCCCCTAAATTTGGGGTGTTTTCCAGCGAGACCTACAAACCTAGTCATTTTTCCAGCCCTTGGTGCTATTTGCTCACCCCGTTTTCACCCTCAGACTGCACCAAGGCGCCGGGGCCAGATGGGGAGGACCCCAGAAAAGAGGGGAGACCCCAGAGCAATGCAGAGGGGTGCAGCCTGCAGCCCCCCACATCGCCCGCCTCACTCGCCTCCAATCCGGGTTTGGGAGTTGCTAAGCAACCGCATAAGTTGCCCATGGGCTCTGCACGCCGGTGCCAGCTCTGGCCGGCACCCGAAACGCAGCTTGGCCCCCCCCAAGCCGGGCACCAGCACCCCCCGGTATACCCGTGCAGTCGGGTTGAGCTGCTCTCCCCGGCTGGAGCATTCTGCTCAGGGGTCTGGTGGCACTGACCTTCCTCTTTAACATCACCAGCATCAGCATCAGCATCACCGTCACCACTAGCATCCCTGTCCCATTGTCATCACTGTCCCCATTTCTGGCACTATCGCTTTTCCCACTGCTGCCACCAGCCCTGTCACCTTCCCCATCCCTGTCCTCATCACCATCACCTCCACCACTATCCTCACCATCAGCCCTGTCACTATCCCCATCCTTCTCCTCACCCCCATCACCTCCACCACCATCCTCACCATCAGCCCTGTCACCATCCCCATCCCTCTCCTCATCACCATCACCTCCACTACCATCCTCACCATCAGCCCTGTCCCCATCCCAGTCATCATCCCCATCCCTCTCCTCATCCCCACCACCTCCGCCACCATCCTCACCATCATCCCTATCCCTGTCTCAATCCTTGTCCCCATCCCACTCATCATGCCCATCCCCATCTCAATCCTTGTCCCCATCTCCTTCATCATCCCCATGCCTGTTCCCATCCTCAACCTCAACCCCATCATCATCTTCATCCCCATCCCTATCCCTGTCACCATCCCTATTATCATCCTCATCCGTGTCCCTATCAACGTCCCCATCTCCATCTGTCACAGAGGCTGCATCTCCTGCCCCCTGACATCCCCAGCTCCCCACAGCAACCAGACCACCCTGCTCCCCTTCCCACCCCATCCCCATCCATCCCATCCCATCCCAATCCCATCCCATCCCTCTTCCCACCAGCACACTGCAGGGGAGCAAAAGTCGCTCTGCTCCAGAAAACCCTGCTCCAGCTTCCAGGTGAAGCCTGGGACAGGATTTTCAAAGGGGAAAACAAACCCTTTTTTTTTTTAGACCCTCCAGATCCATCACTGCCTGCTTTGGTGAGGGGAGGATGGGGCATTTTGTGGGGAGGGATTTTGAGGTGACTCGTGCTTCAAGGATCTGGGAATATTAAGCCCCAAAACAAGGATGCGAAATGCTGGGAGGATCATCCTGTTAGTGGTAAAACCCTAAATTGCATAAAAACGGCGGGTAGGGGAGCAATTACCACAGAAGCACCCTGTTTTTCTCACGGCACAAGGTCCCCCCCATTCCCAAAATCTGCTTGGGCCATGGTACCCCGGTCCTGGCAGAGCCACCGAGCGCCGGCGTCTCCTGCAGGCTGCGGCTGCGGAGGAGGGACGCCAAATGCCAGAACATTTCTAATCATTAACGGCGGGTTTTGAGCCCGTTCCAGGCACTGTGTTTTTCTTCCCCAGGGCCCTTCATCCCAGAAACCCCCCCCATCCCGGTGGGGGGCCATGTGGAATATCGGGGCGATGTTTTTCCAGGTGCTCCAGCACCTTCCTAAATCCGACTCCTGATAAAATCCGACGTATTTTGGAAGAGGGGGGAACGGGTGCTGGGGGTGGGAAACATCCTGCCGTCGCCGTTCGAGATGGTGGCACCGAGGTGTTAAAAAAATCCTTAAAAACCCAAGAAAATAAGGAAAATTTGATGTTGGAAAGGTGCCCTGGGCGGGCAGCATTCCAGCTGCCGAAGCGGGAGCCGGCAGCCGGTGCTGGGGGGGGGGTCACGGCGTAGCCGGTTGGCATCGCCCCCACCGCGGGGTCCCCGCCAGCTGATTTCCCCCCCTCAATCCCTCCTTCCTGTTTTTCCCAGGGGAGCCGCCCCCATGGGTGAGAAATGTGGGGAAAAACAGGAATGGGGCGGAGGGGTGGAAATGGGGTGAACATGTCCCCCACCTCCAAAAAATCCCAAAAAGCACAGCCAGTTTTGCTGCAAATCCCATCACTTTTTTTTTAAATAAATTATTTTTTTTAACGTTGGCTGGGATTTTGAAACCATTCCGGGTTGGAAAAAACCCCCAAATGTTACCGTTTGGAATGGGATGGTGGTGGAGGGGGGGGTCCCCAAAATTCTGGGCATCTCAGCGTTCGGAGAGGGGGGAGGTGGAAGAGGAGCAATGTCACATCCCTCCTTCAGGCGGGGACGCTATTCAATTTTTGACAACCCCCAGGGAAGCAGGGGCCTAAATATAGAGCCTTAAAATATCATCTCAGGCTCAGCCCGGCTCCTAAACCCTATTTTTTTAAGGAAAAATAAGTCTCAGGTGAGAGTCGCTAATAACGGCGGGGACCTCGTTAAGAAAAATTCTCATTAACAGAGCGCTGCGGGGAGGGGGCCGGGGGTGGGGGGGAGATCATCACCCATTCCCCAGAGGAGGGCAGGAGCATGGTGGGGAATTGAGGGGGGTTTGAGGTGGTTTTTTGAGTCATCCCATCTCATTTTGGGTTGTGGTTTTTTTTTGGTGGCAAACGGGGCATTTGGGACAGATCTCCGGGGGGGTGACCCTTTTCAAGAGGGTTATGAGGGCGCACGCTCCCCTTTCCCCGGGGGGCTGCTCCCCTCTGCGGCATCTCTCGGGAGGATTTCTGGGGAGGAATCACGGTGTTTTGGTGCTGCTCATCCCCTTGGGTTTTTGGGGTCAAACATCCCGATTTTGGGTGTAGGTGCGGTGTCTCTTACCGTGCCCGTCCTCCCCATGTTCTCCTTCTTCTCCTTGTCCTCTTTCTCCTTGTCCTGCAGGAAAATATAAAATGTAGGTGGTGTGGGACAAGGAAGGGGGGGGACAGGGACTGGGAGAGGGTTCCCAGCCCTTCACCCCAGGCACCCCAAATTCTCCAGGGGGATGGTCGGGGAGGAGCCCACCTGGAAGTGGGGCTGGGAGAGAACGTGGTCCTGCTGCCGGGCTCCCTGTGCCACCGGGTCGGCCGAGCTGCCTGGGGGAAGAGGAGGCTGGATGCCAGCTGGGACGGGCAGGCCTGAGGCCACGGGGATGGGCACGCGGGGCAGGGCAGATGGCATGAGCGAGGGGCAAGGTGGAGCAGCCCCCCTAGGGTGGGCACGAGGTGTGGGAGTGACGCCTGGGGTGTTGGACACAAGGCATGGGCATGATGCCCAGGGTGATGGGCAGACACAATGCTGTGGGCAATGGGCACATGGGGCAGGTCGGATGCTCTGGGTGATGGGGACACAGGGCAGGCACGATGCCCTGGGTGATGGGCACATGGGGCAGGCCTGACACCCTGGGTGACGGGGACATGGGGCAGGCCTGACGCTCTGGGTGATGGGTACACAGGGCATGACTGACACCCTGGGTGATGGGGACACGGGGCAGGCCTAATTCTCTGGGTCATGGGCACACAGGGCAGGCATGATGCCATGGGTGATAGGTACACAGGGCAGGCCAGACACACATGGGCACACGGGGCAGGCACAATGCCATGGGTGATGGGGACACGGGGAAGGCCTGGCGCCCTGGGTGATGGGCACACAGGGCAGGCACAATGCCATGGATGATGGGTACACAAGGCCATGGATGCTGGGTACACAAGGCAGGCCTGACACCCTGGGTGATAGGCACACAGGACAGGCATGATGCCATGGGTGATGGGGACACAGGGCAGGCCTGATGCTCTGGGTGATGGGCATGCAGGACAGGCACGATGCCCTGGGTGATGGGCACACAGGGCAGGCATGATGCCATGGGTGATGGGGACACAGGGCAGGCCTGATGCTCTGGGTGATGGGCATGCAGGACAGGCACGATGCCCTGGGTGATGGCCACACAGGGCAGGTCTGACACCCTGGGTGATGGGCACATGGGGCAGGCACGATGCCCTGGGTGATGGGCACACAGGGCAGGCCTGACACCCTGGGTGATGGGCACATGGGACAGGAGTAACACCCTGGGTGATGGGCACATGGGCAGGCCTGACACCCTGAGCACTGGGCACATGCAACAGGCATGGTGCCACGCAGGATGGGCAGCCATTGCAGCATGGGGCAGGGGATGGAGGTGAGGGGCTGGGCTCTGCCAGGCCGGGGCCACTCACCCTCTCTCTGCTCCAGCAGCTTTTGGAAGTGCTGAGCAGCAAAGGCCACCACATCAGCGGGCTGTGCCCGCAGCACTGCTAGCGCCAGCCCCTCCAGCAGGGTTTGAAAGCCGTCGGGCAGCCGTAGGATGACTTTGGAGGACGGGGTGGCCATGGTTGCCACCTCTCCCGGGGCTCCTGCCGCCGTAAAACCGGGGTTAGCTAGGTCCGGACAGGGCGGCGAGGGACCGGGCGGCGCCGGGACTCGAACCCGCGGCCCTAGATGTCTGTCAGCGCCAGCGCCAGGGGGCGCTCCCCTCTCCCTCCCCCCCCCCCCCCCCCCCGCGCCTGCGCACGGCCCACCTCTCAACGGCGCGTGCGCGGCCGCCTCCCGGCCGGGGCGGGCACGGTGCGGGGGGGCCGTTCCCTCCGGTTCCCCCCCGTTTCCTCCCGG